ATATAATTTTTAAAAGTAGCAGTAGCTAACATAAGCTGTTTTAGTCAATTCAATAGAGGGTATTACAGTTTATAGCTAGATGATGCCCAATACTCATGAGCTCATAGGTGCGGCTTTTGAAAATGCTAGCATTATGGGGCAGTAAGGCTGACTTGGCTGTTGGGAGGTGGGGTATGGTCGGAAGAGGAGAGTCTGTGAGTAGTAGTCTCCATCTCCCTCCCTGGTTCCTCTCTTCCCTCTCTGTGTCCTGGCTGCCATACCGTGAGCAACTTTCTTCCCCTATGCCCTTTCACCAGGCTCTTCTACTTTGCAGCCAGACAACTATGGACTGAAACCCATAAAAACCGTGAGCCCAAATAAACCTGTTCTCCTTTAACTTGGAGGTGTTTGGTATTTTGTCCCAGAGATGACAGAGTGACTAAGAAAGGGTGCATAAGTTTTTGTAGATTAAAGTAAGATGTACGCATATCTTCTATGATGTAAAGCACTATACATTCAATCACTGCTCATTCAAAAAATAATTATCACATGACTTCTATATTCCAGGTCCCTCTCCATTGAAAACTTTAAGCCCTTGGGCAGCAGTTACTTTTTCTAGGATCACATTTTATTTGTATTGCTTAGTAAGAATATACCCCAAATATCAGTATTGTCTAAGTACTTTCACTAAATTATTTTATTTGAAAATGAATACATTACACCATGTCAAACCTGTGACCTAATTTTAACTTTAAATTCACAAATTTGAGAGGAGGCTCAGAGACTAGAATATCTTCTGTGATCTTATCCAGCCCAAAGTAGCTCTAATAACCAGTTCCAACTTTCTCCTTGCTCTGTTCCTCTCTCTACTGTAGGATTTATGCAAGCTCGATCTTATGGACATGTTTACAGAGTCCTCTTAATCTAAGTCTAGAGAAATTTGTAAATTTTATAGAACACTAGGGGAGTTTCTGTATAAATGAGAATTACAAATAATAGAAATATGCTCAAAAGTTAGTTTTAGCTGTACTCAATGAAAGCACTTATGAATGTTACTATCCGGTTCAAGTCTTTTTAAAAACTGTTCTTTCAATACTTTTAGCAGGTTAAAAATGGAGAGAAAACTTGCTTTCCTTTTTTATGTTTCAAGAGAGATTGGAAAAAGAAACAGACAAAGGAGCTGAAAGGTTCTAGCACATTTTGATGTAGTCACTGGTAACTTTTCAGTTCTGTCTTTACTGGGAATATAAAAAGTCCCCGATTGGCAAATCTGAATTGATTACATCAGCCTAGCATGAAAGGTGTGGGGTCTTACTTGAACTTGATATTTTTTTTTTTAACCTATCACCTTCATTTGCAAAAGATCTGAAGGCTCCACCACTCTGTATCCCCTGCTCTGTGAGCATCCAGGTCACTGCCACCAATCTCTCCTGGGTGGCTTCAGAAATCTTCAAACTGACTTTTAAAAGTGGACTTCCTGTTTCCCTTTTGCTCCCATTAGATATTTTAGCACCTTGAACAGAGGTCTGCTAAAATGTTAGGTCAGATAAAGCGGTCCCTCCACTGGAAAACCTGCCACGGCTTCCCATTTGACTCAGCACACCGTCCACTAAGGCCCTGTGTTCTGTCCAAGCTCTGCGGTCTCACTTCCCACTGCTTTCGCTCAAGGCCTCCCCTCTGGCCATCACGATCCATGTGTTCTACTTTGTCTCCAATGCCCAGAGTGGTGGCTGACACATAGTAGGTATTCAAAAATTTTAAATCAACGAATGGGAACCACTGTAGTTTTTGGGCTCATATTGACATCTAAAATAGCAGAAAATTTTCTCAAGCCTCCTATTTTGTGTTTAGATGCTAATATTTTGTGAATTATGGGCAATTTATACTTTTAGGTTTCAAAGGTTCTGAATCACTATTTCCTCTGAATTTTCTATTTGCATTCCACATTCTATTGTCCTATTGGGCATAACTCAAATCCTTTACTCCCATAAATACTGTGCACAGCATACTTCTTGAAGATTTGAAATAATGGGGGAGATGGGATTAAAAGAGAAACCAAAAATGAAGTTTCAGGTATCCACTTTCTTAAGATCCATGAATTTCTGCACTGAGGACTTTTAATGAATGGTTTTATCTAATTGATGTCCAGTTTCCTTCCGCTTAGTTGGTCCTAAGTTTTCTCTTTGCTATCATACTGTATTCTTAGGACATCTAATTTCCAGGGAATTTTTCATTATTGAGTCAATTCATTTCATACAATTTCTGCCGTTTAGTAGATAAAATTAATTTTCCTAATTCTCTGATGCCCATTTAATACAAATGACATTTGTTTTACAGTGCTATGTGATGTTCTACAACTCTTTAAAAGTGTTCAAAGCTTGGATATAGCTTGACTACACAGTTTTCTTAAAACTCAAAACATACCTCTATGTGGAAATTTATATTTATTTTAGAAAAATATACTTCATATTGATCAGGCTTTAATTTTATCTCCTTGGTTACATTATAGACTACAGTTTATTTATGTCAACCTTTGAAAATATTTAGATAAATGATTTCAAATGGTAAAAATTTTGAATAGTTGTAATAATCTAATATGTATTTTATGACAAAATACTCCAGTCTTCCAATTTATACTTCATTTCTAAAACTCACACTAGTCATACATTACTTGACATGCCACAATTTTTTAAGAGGCTTAATGTACAGGCATTTAAATCATAGCCTGATGATATTCATCTCTCCATAAGGAACTATTCATTGATGGGGCATTTTTTGGAGTACGTTAAGTAAAACAGCTTCAGTCCGGTCCTTGGCACCAAGCAGTCCTGATGATTAATGACCTACACTGATGATTGGCTCTTGGTTACAGATGCCATGGACCTTCAAGAAGTGGGACTACAGCGAATGGAAATATCTCAGCAGTTCTTACTCAGCTGAGGGATTGAGGTGACCGGACATGGTAGGATACGCCTGGCGTATAAAACTTCATACACTCTTTTTGGCTTTTCTTTAGATAACAATAAATTCTTTTCCATTTTTTTAAAATCTTAGAGTTAGGAAAGTCTGCAAAAGAGGGAACGTTATGAAACAAATGCCATTACTAGTAGTTTTACTAAAACTCATCTACAACGGTCAAATTATAGCAATGATTTTTGAAATAGTCTACCATTGTTTCCCTGGAAACAGAATAGGCATGAGTTACATACCATTTTGAATTTAATTATTTTTTTAAAATTCCAAAATAATTTAGTATAAAGTGTTAGTTTCAATGAAAATTTATGCAACAACATAAGGCAACCACAGAGTTCTTTACAGTAAAATAAAAGAAAAAAACAATTTTTTGATGGACTGCAAAGTAAAAGCCTAAGTGGCTTACAAATACATTTTTGCAATCTGATGGATTTAAAGGCTTTCCAAAAGTTCTCTAGTTATACCACTACAGAAACACATACATGACATACATGCTTGATATCACTCTGAAAGACTAACAATAATTGCTTCCTCCAGATAAAACATAGAACTAATTAATCTGAAAAACCCATGAATAGTATGATTAGTTGGGTTTCTTCATAAAGCTTCTTTTATAATTTGGGCTAATCTCTGGAAGGCCTAAAATAGAAAAGAGATAAGAATCGTTAATGAAATTAGAATGCTTTCTTGGAAAAAAATGATTGAAACTTTAAAAAGTTAAACAGTGTTTATCTGAGGCTGGATAAGGCAAGAAGTTAAACTTGATATTAACTGGGCAAAAGGCCATGAATATCTACTAAAATATGTAGATATAGCTACTTGAGATTTCTAGGAGTTTTTTTGTTCTCAAAACACTCATGATCTTCATTTTGTATTTTATCCACAACACAGATTATTTTATATTTTCATGTAATATCTCACCTGCAAATGCATTCTCTATAGTTTTTTGTCCAACTCTATTCATATATGAAAGCAGGGAGAATTTATGAAAAGCACATTTAATGATACAAGAAAGCAAGTAAAGAAAGAACACACCAAAATGGAATATGTCCCCAAATAAGAATAAATTCTACTAATGGTTAATACTATTCAATTTAAAATTCTGCTTTTTGGATTTCCACATGCATAGTGCTTAGGTTCTTGTTTCCTTGATGCTTATTACTCTGGTTAAAGTTGGACTGTAATTAAGAATATTATTGATTTGGAGTGAGTGCAGTGGTGAAGCTTAATTGCCAACTTGATTGGCTTGGGAGCTTCCCGGAGGAATAATAAGGGACACTTCTGGGTGTGTCTAGGTGGCTCACGGAGACTGACCTGAAGGACTGCATCTGTTCCACGGCCCCTTCTCCTCTGGCACTGTTCCCCTGATGTGCTTCCCACCCATCATGAAGTGAGAACCTTCTTCTATCATGTTTCTGCCTTGGACTCAGTTGAATACATGCTAAATCTTCAGCAACTGAGCAAAAATGGAGCTTCTCTCCTCTAAGTTGTGTACGTCAGGTATTTAGTCCCACAAATGAAAAACTAACCAATATGTTGACTCTGCCCATGCTTTTCTTCTTCAGGGGAAGAGACTGCAATCTATTGTGAACTTGTACTTTTCATTCATGTTAGTTCCATGAAGGAAGGAAAGACAATTTCCCTATAAAATGTTGGTAATCTTCCACACAATTCTGAAAAGTTATTCACAAAAACAATAAACTTTAACTTGTTTAGTCTCGCTCATCTACTGAGGTCTCGTAGTAAAGTAAAAGGGGGATACTTAATGGGAGTTCACAATCGTCCATAAAGTTCTGGTTTTTGGAAACCCAAGAAAATATTAAGTAATGTTTTTAATTTAAAAGGTCAACACATGCACCAAAGCCCAGAATGGAGGGCTGGTGTTACTCTGAAGAGAATCCCGTACTCACCACGTCCATCTGTTCTGCAGAAACAGTGGAGAAGCAGGCTCTGAAGTAAGGGCTATTAGTGGAGCTGTCCTTGTAGAAAGCACTCCCAGGAAACAGTAGAACCTAAGAGAGGTTGTGAAAAATAAGTGATGTTGCCCCTGGGGAATAACTAAAATGTAGATCAACCTAACCTCAGAGTGAGAAGGATGTTCTAAATTTAAAAGCAGTTTAAGAAATCATAACAGAAGAAACAAAATACATAAAAATTGTGTCACCCAACAAACAAGTCTACATGAATAGACTGGTCAATGCTATTCTTTACTTAAACAATGCACAGAAACAAATACAGACACACACACACACACAAAACACTAAATGTGCAAAGGACAGCTTAGTAAAGGAATGTAAAAGTCTATAAAATAATTAATGATCTAATCTAACTGGAAAATTCAATGAGATAGCATTTCAAGTTAACAAATTAGACAGTGATTTTTAACCTGGGATCTTTAAGATAAGTAATTGTTGGCCTAGCAAAAAGCAGGAAACAATATTGTAGGGAATTGCAAGGGCCATGAGATGGGAAGAAAATAGTACATTAAAAGAATGAGAGCCAAGTGTGGTGGTGCATGCCTGTAATCCCAGAACTCGGGAGGCTGAGGCAGGAGGATTGCTCTGAGTTTGGGATGAGCCTGGGCTGCATAGTGAGTTCCAGGTCAGTCTCAACTACATAGTGAGACTCTGTCTCAACCCCCCCTTCAAAAAAAAAAAAAGAATGAGAGGTGGTAAAATAAAATAATACATAAAATGAAGAACTAAAAATGAATGTTAACTAAGTGTGTGAAGATGGGGGGTGGAGCAATTGCTCTTCATGGTGACCACCTGTAGCCAAACCACAGATTCCCTTTTGCTTCTCTCCTTCCCTCTTCTACTCCTCCAGTCTTTCTCTCCAACAACTGAGCACTGAACCTGGTGCATATATACTAAGCACACAGTCACTGAGTCACACGCACAACGCTTCTACTGTCTTTTGATTATGCTCAACCATACGAACCAAAGTCATGGATGCTATTTTTAGTCCTGGCCCATAAAAATGTTCCCATGTGTGATCTGCCCTATTCTTTCCACTTTCTAGTGATCTTGGATTCTATAAGAATGCCAGAGAATAAGATGAAAGGAACTGAGGTCTTTGAATCATAGTTTTCTGCAGATTACCTTTTCGAATTTTATGTGAATCAGACATGAGCTTCTTTTGTGTTATATCTTTGTGATTTTGGAGCGCATTATTTATAGCAATTAGTTTTAACAGTACAATCACGCTCTCTGGAAGCATTAATCAACTGGTTGCTGTTACGTGAAAAATCTGGGTACTGTCACTAAAAGAAGATGAGTTGGGAGTGCAATGATTTGGGGGAACTCTTTGGAAAAGATTTTATGGGTTTCTTTATGCTGACTCAGAAAGCGTGGAAGTCATCATTTTTCTCAATATAATAAAAAAGTTGTGGGATGAGCTAGAAACAATCACCTGTAATAGGAGAGAGTGGTAATAACCTCTTAGTAAGAAAGCCAAATGCTGGGTAGAAGCAGTAGTGATAAAGTTGGAGAGTATTTAGAAAAGGTAAAGGAACATCCAACAGGATTGTGGAATAAACAAAGAGGATGAAAAAAAAGTACAGCAGAATACCCTCCATCCTTAGCACTTAGCTCAGAAATACATACAAATAGCTACTTATTGATGAGTTCGATGAAAATAGTATTGATAGGAAGGCAAAGAAAATGTCAAGTTCATGTAATACATTACAATAAATTTGTCTGAAATACGTCAGTATATAAGTGCCTACTATGTGCTGCTACTAGGATTAGAACAATGATAAAGGATAAGTCCTGTTGTAAAGTAGGATGGTCAGAGAAGGTAATACCTTTTCCCTGTTGTCCGTCTCTAAATTTAATCTCTAGCCTAGTTTGTCTCTTATGTATCAGTGTGCTACCTTGCCATCCTCATCCCAATCTTATTTATTCTGTGTATTCATTCAAGACAACAGTGATTCTAGAAATAGTCTCATTGTTTACAAAGGATGACTGGCAAATGTGATAAAGGAATTAATTAATGGAAGAAGCAAACATATTAGGTAAATTAGAAAGCTACACAGAAAATTTTCAGTTAGAATTTGAGCTTAATCACTGGCCACAAGTGAAATCTAAGTAGATTCATGACAAGTATAGAAGGAGAAAAAGAGAGACAGACAAACCTATAAGAGGTAATTTCATATGGATAATAAGGATTCAATCTTGTCTATGTAATATTAGCTATGTAAAATGACTTCACAATCCCAAATAATGGAATATATAAAATCTCTTCAAAAATACACAATAAATGGTCACAAAACCTAGGTGGTGAAACGATGAATTATTTAAAAAAATTCCTTGCACCTTCCAAATTTACTTATAGAGTCATATTCGGGAGCATTTATTATGTGCCAGGTATTACTCCAAGTGCTTTACACATACAGTTCATTCAGCCATCACAGCAACCCCATGAGGGAGAGATTCTCACTCTCTGCTTTGTAGATGAAGCACCAAAAGGGCCACTTACCCAGTGACGCGTGTCCAGCAGTGGGCAGAGCTGGACTGAAACCCACAGAGTGTGGCTCCATAGCAATCTCTTAGCCACTGTGCTAATCACTGGCTGAGGTGAATGACTGTGCCGCCATTCACTTAGACCAACTGAATAGTTATGTAACCCTCACGTTTATTACTATTTTAATAAGACATAGCATGCCTAATATTAGAACAGTATCAGTTGGCTACTGGGGAATACAAAACACCTTTTTCATTTTTAGTCAAGTCAAAAAATTACTTTAAATACAAGTGCAACTTTTTATTTAGGTGTCCCCTTCCACCCACCTCTTTTTTAAGGGCTTCTTCTTCAATCAGTTGTTGTGAATTAGAAATGCCTGTAATTTTAACCCATAAAAACATACCAGCAACAGGTACATGCCATTCTGCCAGACCTACACACAAAAGAGAATATGTGTCAACTATTTTTTTCTGTGACATAATATGGTCATTATAAACTAGTACTTCCAAAAGGTTCCTTCAGTGATAAGATTTAAAAAAATATAGTTTTATGAGTCCTGAAAACAGATACTCTAGGATTATTTCGAGGAGTCAGTGTGTGGGTAAGAGGGAGGTAGGGAGGGAGACTGAGTAGCTACTGTGTGAACAGTTACAACTGCAGCCAGCCTTAGCGGAGAACTAGCAACACAGTGCCTCTCTCCTTCAAATAATTAGAACCATAGCTAAGCCAAGTGTGGCTGCTTCCATTTTAAAAGACAATTCTTCAATTCCTCCTAGAGTCTTCTGGTGTTTCAATTAATCTTATCTTTTTTGTGATAGTTTAGAAGTTCAGTATATTAGTTTTATCAGAATGTAGTTAATTATGAAAAGAAGTACTTAAAATTCAAGAATTCCATATGCATTTGTTAGCTGTATGTTCCTAATGGATAGAAAAATCAAGAAGAAAGAATATTTATTTTGATTTTAATTACTGTTTTTTAAGAACCTCTTCTCTAGTTACACCTTTTTCTTCACCATTTCCATGCAAAATCATGGAACAATATGCTTATGAAATAGAAATTTATTTAGTTTTTACCAATACCTCATAAGGAATTAGATAGGAAAGGAACTGAAATTTTTTATTGTTACTGATACAACAGGCACTTTAAATGATATAGTTAAAGCCACATTATTCTTCTGACTGCCTCCATAATGAGAATAATTCTAACACATTTTGAAATCAAATTAGTAAGAGCTAATACCAGATAGTAACTGTGGTTAATTACTAGAAGAGAAAGAAATTGTAATGCGAGATCTGCTTTAGACTGCACTACTAGTCCTCATACAGCTTACTCGGAAACAGAGCATATTATTTGTTTGGAGCAAAATTTTGAAATAAATAATAATTTTGAAGATGGCTATTAGCTGTAAGTTATGGCTGCTTGGCTTCTGGACTCGATTTTTTTTTTAAGAACCACAAATTTTAGCAACAGATGGCAGAAGTGTGCTATTCTTTGTAGGATGTTACTTGTGAGATCCTTTGGAGGGAAACATCTTTCAAGAATGCTCCAAGATTAGGGATTTCTTCTCACCACTAGGAATGTCAATAATATGCAATATTTATCACCCATTCTTACAGGTGTTCTTGTTTATCATAAGGACACATGCACATTTTACTCACCACTTAACCACTTCTCCGCAGCTGCCAATATGGCGTCTCTCTGTAGAAATCAATAATCCTGGAAGAGGCGAACAATGACAAAGATATGCTCTGTACATGGACTGCAGAAACGAAATTAGCTTTGAACTCCAAGTTATAGGAATTTGTTTTCTCTCCCGATTAAAATGTTGAATGTAACATATAGGTAATAAAGGTAATGATCATGTATTGTTTACCTCAGAAAGGTGAAAATAAAAGATTTGGAATGTTTTCAATGTAAGGAAGTGATAAATGTGCAAGAAGGTAGTTATGCTTTAACCCAATTCAAGCATTATATAATGTATACCTTTATCAAAGTATCACACAATATCCAACAAATATGTACAATTTTTACATCTCCATGTGTTCATTAAAATATTTATTTACTAACAAAAAATGTTGAATGTTTGAGAAGCAAGAGTATTTGGGTTGACCATTTTTACAAGTGTCATATTTACTTTGTTGTGGATTCCTTAAAAAATAAATATCAATAGTGCAAAAAAGTAATTTCTATGTAAAACGTAGAACTTAGAAATAGGAGGGTTGATCTTTGTTTAATTGTCTCAAATAATGATTGCCATTTGCAAGGCAGGAGAATCTTTAGCAACAAAGACAGTACTATTGGCATGGTGAACCCCTGGTCTGGGAATGAGGGGACCCCTTCCTCCTTATTTCTACATGTCCTAGGAGTACCACACTTACACAACCACAGCAGTTCATAACTTGCACCATTGTGTTGACTATTTAGGTAGATTATGTTCTTACTCATTAGGACAGGCGTCAATTCCTGTGTCATGTGTCCCTCACAGTAAGTTAATTACTAAAGAGAATACTTTTGTGCACCCATCCTAATCTTGAGGGAACTTCAGGTTACCTTGGGGCTTCATTGACGCTGCTTTCAGGGCATTCCTTGGGTGCTCCTGGGAAGACTTTCTAGGTAATGAACAGGATTTGCCCTTTGATAGACTATTCCCATTGTCTAGCTTGGTATATTCAGGAAGGAAGATTAATAAACCAACACTCTGGTGCTGTGTGCTTCTTTTGTGGGGCTCCTATTTTGCTCATAAAAATGTTAAGAAATGATTCTATACCTGTCCACGTGAGCCGGGAAGCCTTCTTCTCCCCATTGCTGTAGAAGCTGTGATATCATGAGCTAAAAGAGAGACTAGGAACACTGTCACAATTCATTCCTTAAAAGTGTCTGCGTTTGCCAAACGCAGAAGCAAATCATCCAGACTACCGCTATAAAAAGATAAAGTATGCTGAATCCAGCTGTTGGCAGTCAGTGATTTATAGCAAATGTTGATAACCGTGACAACAACAGTAGTAAGAAGATCAACTATTTCTATGGAGCTCTTTATGTACCAGGCACTACAGAAACGCATCAATATATTTTCACTCATCTTCCCAATGATCCAATTATTAGAAAAGTTAGTTTTATTTTATTGATAAGAAAATCAAAGCAGAAGTGTTAATTTTTCTGCTGGTTACAGAGCTCAGATTTGAAGTCAGACTGTTCAGCTCCACATCCAAGATATTTGTTACAAGACTATTCTGCCTCTCTAAATATAAAAGAATATATAGTATTCTCTCTCTGTCCCATCTCTCTGAGCAGTGCTGAGAATCAAAGCATTTCCTTGTCCTTTGTAACACTGAGCTATATCCTCAGCCTAAAATATAAATGGCAATATCTAAAGTTCTATATCATATTTGGAGATTCTTTATTTAAAATAGAAGCTCTAAATGGTGTAAATGGATAGCAAACTGCTGCTGATAACCGATATTAAAAAATATAGGAAAAGACTCTAATTTGATAAGGCATGGGGACAGCTACACTTTATGTATATACAATATCAAATACCTTATGTGACTATTTTTCTATTCATTTTTATTTCTTATGTAGTAGTTCTACCCTAAAGATCCAATTCCAACACTTACAATAATTTTGAAATCCAGTAATTTCTCACAGCACCTGAGAAAATTTATACATTCTTGGAGGTTAATTTTACTTTAATTCCCAGTTCCTCCCAAAATAAGACCTACCCAGAAACACAAGTTCCAGCATGGTTTCAGAAGAAGCATTCCCTGAAAATGAGGTCAATTGCATCCTTTTCAGGGGATGTCCCTTTTCAAATCATGCTGGAACCTGTTTTTTGGGTAGGTCTTATTTCAGGGAAACATGGATGCAAAGCAGTCCAACTACTGTGTGTGGGTTGGTGGTGCAATGAAGGTACACAGTGAGTCACTGAACACGTTCAGATTTCTTGGTCTCTTTATAAGGTCCAAGTCAAGGAAGTCAAAGTTAGTATTGCTTCACCAAACTTGAGTCCGTTTTGTTCAGTTCCATAGAATAATATTTTGGTGTTCTCATAGGGGCACAAGCTAAGTGCAATACCTTGATTTACAAGCAGTTTGGGTTGTGCTGTGAAAGAACACCAGATTACCATAACTCATTTGTCTTTTAGCGTAAGCATCTATGGGATTTGGCCTGCTAATTCAGTCTGTATTGGAATTGGAGATTTAGCATTTATGAGTCTCCCTTCTTGTTGCCTTAACTTAATCTCACTTGCTGTCTTTGGCCATACCACCCTGAATGCGCTCAACCTTGTCTAATATTACTTGACAACATCTAATTGCTATACTGGTTTGATTTTTTAAAAAAACAGTACTTCAATTTGCACTTACCTGTGAGAAACTGCAGGGGTGCATTGATGATACTTGTGTGTGTAAAACAATTTTCTCTATCAATGGTTTTGGGCCCGTTACAAAACCCACTCTCAACCTACAGAAGAAGAGAAAAGTCTCTAAACCTATTCGCATTAACATATCACTGCATTGACTTCATTAGGAGGAACCTTTTCACCTGGGATAAATGGACCTAGAATATTAAAAATATTCTGATAAAATGAACTACTTATTTCAGGTACAACTGTAAATGTAGGTGCCCATTTATGAAATACATTAATGCAAGTGCAAGTTTTTCCAAATGTGTTCTTTCATAAGGATACCAATATTCTGAACTATCTCACTAAAACTTTAGTACCCAACCATCTTTGATAATTGGAGATTAATAAAGAGAAAGGATTATACTAATATTAATAATCACTATGCTGTTTTAAGGTGAAATTCAAGTTTTTTTTTTAACCCAGCCCTTTGCATTGAGGTACATCCTCAGCTGTCTTTAAGCCTTTTATTTTAAAACAAGATCTCACTAAGTGGCTAAGTTGCCCAGGCTGGGCTCAAACTTGCGATTCTCCTGCCTAAGCCTCTCAGAGTGCTGGGTTACAGGCATGCACCACCATGCTCAGCTTCAAGCTTCTTAAATGAGACATGCTTGGATTAAAATATACTGGGCTCAAATTAGAGACATGGACCTTACCCCGAGGAGAGGATTTTCGAAAAGGAATCAGCTCTGATGACACGCCCATCAACATCCATGGAGAGAAATGTCGGTGCCCAGGGCTTAAAATGGGAAGAAAAGTACTTTGGTGTGTGAACAGTGTTAGTAGCTGTAGGGTAACACCGAATAGAGCAGGGGAGGCATGGCTTTGGAATATAATAGCCCGAGGATCTCTTCTCTTTGTCTACACCTCTTTCCATGTAGTAAACCTGACATGCATGTTCTGTACTAGTATCTGCCTGCCTTCATGGTTTCCTTGTCAAACACAAGGTCTTCTTTATATTCTCAAAACAAAACTATTGCATAGTTAGAAAAACCTCTTTACCTCAGGGGTTGAAATTTAGGAAAAAGTGACTTGGAGGAAGGACTCAAGCAAACCTACTTTGGACAGGATAAAAATGAAGAGGGCCAGTAGCATTCAATTTCCTAGAGACTGTTGATCAAGATGTACAGAATGATCAGTCAAACAGTATAGAAAAATCAAGAATTTTTGTTTCTTCTTGGTGATGTAATTGGGTGACTGAATGCAATTGTATGTTCTCTGCAACCCTGGGAGCAAATAAACTGTTAGATTTTGGTGGACCAGACGATAGTAGTCTGTTCCACCTCTACTGTCCATTAGGATCTAGAAATCATGAAAGGCAGCAGAGGTATAGAGTGAGGATGAACCTAAAAGCCCATTATTTTTAGGAAAGATCCAGGCATAAGGGAAGGGGATGGTGAATCTGCATGCTGCCTGTAACACCTTCTTCTATGTCCATAAAAGAACAGCATTAACTGAACACAGCTCTACTTCAGCTTGAACCCAACTTCTCAGTCCTCCTTAGACATCATCCTCATCAGCCATTATCTCAAGACTGAAGCTGACACCCAAGTTAGAACGTGCTTCAACATCCCTAGGATGACACTGACGGAGCTGTGAGCTAGGGTATGGAGTTCAAGACCATCAGCCTGATTTAATCTGTTTGCCTATAGTCACAGTTTTGGGGGCTAGTGACTATTCTGAAGTTAAGTAATTACTAGAAAGAGAAGTCACACCAAAAATGAAAAGCACTGATCCTCCAGTTGGCCTGACCCTTAGACCAGTGCAACAGAGGAGCCCAACTGTGTGGGCTCCAATACAGCGGTGTTTGTGCCCTGCCCCGAACAAGAGAAAGAAAACCTCTCTGAGGCTCTTAGATGAAAATTGAAGCCCACTGTAGAAGTGAAGAAAATCTGCAATAAAGGCACACCAGACCACCATAGTTGGCAAGTTGGAGGAATCAGCATCTCACATTGGAACCTGGTCTAACTTCAGGGGAAAGACAGCTGGAATCTGCAGCAGAACCTTGCAGAGTTGAACCCAGCAGGAGGACAGAGATTTCAACTTGGGCCTTGCAGCCAAAAATCAGCCTAAACCTTAGGAGACAGCTGGTGGCTTGCTGAAATTAATTAGCTTAGACCTGCACACTCCTGCCCATGCTGTTCATTGTGTCAACAGAGGCATACATACTTGAAGGAGGCTCGCTATTTCTGTTTGTATTTTTTATTTTTAAAGTAATATTTTTCACTTATCTTTAATCATTTAAAATATTTTTATCTATCTTTTTCTTTTCTCATTTTTTTATTTTAATCTTCTTATCTTCCTTTCATTCTGTATCTCTCTCTCTCCCACCTTTATCTCCATTATGCTGCCTTTTTGTTCCTGTTCCTATCCTAATTTGAATTTATTTTCTTTCTTTTCCTGTTCTTCTCCTTTTCCTTCTCTTAATTGCCATTAATTTTAAAAGAAAGTGATTACATTATCTAGCCTCCCTATTCCTGTTAGTTTGTTCTGTTCTTGGGAATATTTTGTTCTGTCTGACCCTCTTCTCTTCAACAGTTCCCAAGCATTTGTGTGATCTTCCTGTGTCCTCTGACCTCACTTCTAACCTTCTCTATCCTATCTATATATCCCTCTTTCCCAACTCCTTTTAAATCCCCATCCTGAAGAGTAAAGTTGTTATATTGAAGAATTTATTCACTATAAACTTATTTTGGGTTGGTCTTTGATTTGATTTCATTCATATGGTGAAAAGTGATAGATTAATTGTCATTTTCTAAGTTGTGACTGATGCTATTGGGTTGCTGATTCTATCTCTTGGGCTAAGGTGTTGTGATTGATCTAATCAGTTGTTCTCTCTGGTATAATGAAAATGAGTTTGCCTCAGAGATATTAGCGACTCAAAACCTAAAGATGTTATCTGGAAGATTTAAGTATTTAGTCAGGAATTAAACCAAGGACCATACCAATGACAAAATAGCAATGAGAAGGCATTTAAACAAGACATAAACACAGACTTCCAACCCACCAAAGGTAAATTCTGGGGGAATTGAGGTGGAAAAGTCTGACAGTCAACTATCTAGTCACCCTGAACCAATAACACAGGAAGTAAAAAAACAGAAAAATGAGATTCTAGAAAAATTCAAAACAGAAGCAATTACCCAGATAACCACAGAGATGGTGAGAAAAATTAAAGACATGATTAGAGACTCTAGAAAAGAAACAGATAAAAAATAGATGAGCTCAGGACCATGATGGAAACCAAGAATGCCCAGCATAGGAAATAAATGGAATTCTTGAAACAGATTTAAACAGATATCCAGGAGATTAAAAACTCTATTGAAAGCATTCACAGCAGGATGAATGAATGTGAGGATAGAATTTTAGATATAGAAGATAGGATTGTGGTCAGTGACCATGAAAAGAGAGATCTCTTAAAAATGGCAAGGGACCATGAGAAATAAATCCAACAACTCTTAGATTATGTAAAGAAGAATAATATAAGACTGATACGAATCCATGAAGAAGCAGGAGAAAGTACAAAGTATGTAAAAAGTTGTTCACAGAATTAATGACAGAAAACTTCCCAAGCAGAGGGGAAGAATTTGACATACATATAAGTGAGGCATTTAGGATTCCAACTAGCCATGATAAAAAAACCAAAAAACAAAAACTACACCTAGACATAATAAGATCATGGAAACCCAACAGAAGAACAAAATATTACAAGCAGTTAGAGAAAAGAAACAAATCACACACAAATGAAAGTCCATCAGAATCACAGAAAACTTTTCAACAGAAAACCTTAAGTCAAGGAGAGCCTGGAGTGAGGTATTTCAAGTTTTAGAAGAAAACAACCTTCAACCTAGACTGATGTATCCTGCAAAACTATATTTCAAAATTGATGGGGAAATAAGATACTTCCATGTCAAAGAACACTCCAAACACTTCTAAACAATATCCTGGAAAAAGAAAGTGAAGACCATACCTCTATAAGGGCCAACAGAGTAAATATACCAGGCAAGGCAAGAAATTAAAGGGAGAGAGGGGAAAATAAAAAATAAAAGAACCAACAATAGGAAAATAACATGACAATGAAAAGTCAATACCATAACAGTTATAGCCATCAATGTGAATGGCCTCAATTCACCGATCAAAAGAAATAGTCTGGCAGAATGGACTAAGAAGCAAAATCCAACAATATGTTGTATATAAGATGCCCACTTAATCCACAAATAAATTCATAGACTGAGAGTAAAAGGATGGAAAACAGTTCTCCATGTGACCAGAACCTGGAAAAAAGTGGGGGTAGCTATCTTATTTTCAGACAGATTAGATTTCAAACCAAAACTAATTAAGAGAGGCAAAGACGGCCACTACATCCTTGTAAAGGGAACAGTACAAGAGGAAGAAATGATAATCATAAATATGCACTGAATACTAATGCCTCCAGCTATACAAAACAAATATTAATGGATATAAAAATGAAATAAGCACTAATACAATAGTAGTGGGGAACCTCAATACTCCACTGACAAAAATATACAGATCATCTAGACAAAAAAACCAACAATGAAATAACAGAACTGAACTAAGTCTTAGAACAAATGGATTTAGTAGATGTGTACAAAGTGTTCCATCCCACAAAATCAGAATATACATTCTTTTCAGCTGCACATGGATCATTCTCCAAAATAGAACATATGCTATCTAAGTAAATTCAAAGGAATGGAAGTTATCCCCTGTATATTATCAGACCATAGTGCAATTAAACTAGAGACCAGTAGCCTAAGAAACTGCAAGAACTTCACAAACACATGGGAATTAAATAAAACCCTGCTGAACAACCATTGGGTCACAGAGGAAATTAAAGAAGAAATTAGACAGTTTCTACAATTAAATGATAATGCCAATACAACCTCAAACAAACAACCTAATGCTTAACCTTAAGCTCCTAGAAAAAGAAGAGCAAGACAAACCAAAAGCTTGTACAAGGGAGGAAATTATAAATTTCAAAGCAGAAATTGCAATGGAGACTAAGAGAATGATATAAAAATCAATGAATCAAAGAGTTGGATTTTAAAAGAATAAATAAAATTAATAAACCCTTAGCCAACCTTATCAAAAAAGGAAAGAAAGGCTCAAATTCATGCAATTAGGAATGAAAAAGGTGAATCCACCAGCAATCCAGAGGATCATCAGTACCAACTTCAAAAACGTATACTTTAATAAAATGGAAAATACAGAAGAAATAGATTCCTAGACACATATGAATGTCCAAAGTTGAACAAAGAAGATATAAAAAGTCTAAACACCCCAATTACATTCAGTGAAATTGAAAATGTAATTGAAACATCACCAACAAAGAAAAGCCCAGGCCCTGATGGCTCACTGCTGAATTCTACAAGAGATTTAAAGAAGAACTATTGCCACTACTCCTTAAACTCTTCAATGAAATTGAAAGAGAAGCAATACTTTCAAATTCATTCCTGGAAGCAAGTATTACTTTGATTCCAAAATCAGGAAATGATCCAACCAAAAGAGAGAACTACAGGCAATCTCCCTAATGAGCATAGATGCAAAAATCCTCAATAAGATACTGGCAAACAGAATACAGAAAGTCATCAAGATGCTCATACACCCTGACCAAGTCGGATTTATCCCAGGGATGCAAGGATGGTTCAACATATGTAAATCAATAAATGTAATACACTATATTAACAGAATTAAGGACAAAAACCATATGATTATCTCAATAGATGCAGAAAAAGCAATTGACAATATTCAACACATATTCATGCTAAAAATCCTACAGAAAATTGGAATAGATGGTCTTTATCTCAGCCCGATAAAGGCTAAGAAAAAATAACAACTAATATCATTCTAAATGGTCAAAAACTAAAAATCTTCACACTCATGCTAAAATCAGGAACAAGATGACAGTGTCTACTGTTATCACTCCTGTTCAATATAGTTCTGGAAACATTAGCCATGGCAATTAGACAAGAGAAATAAATAAAAACAATAAACACAGGAAAGGAAGAGGTTAAACTGTCATTATTTGCTGATGATATGATACTCTACATAGAACACCAAAAAAAAACAAAAAACAAAAAACAAAAAACAAAAAACAACAACAAAAAAACTCCACCAAAAGACTGCTAGACTTACCTGACAGATTCAGTAGAGTAGCTGGATACAAAGTCAACACTCATAAAAATAAGGAAAAGAAAATAATATGAGAAAATGAACAAATGGAAATAAAGTATTTATAAATAGGGATGGGAGGAGCGGGTGAAGAGAGGGCAGGGGTAAGGGGAAAAAATGAGAACCAAGACCTGTCATGTAAAGGTACAAGATCCCAATTATGAATGTAACTGTACTGTATACCTAAAATATACCAATAAACTCAATAAGAAAAACAAAACAAAACAAAGTCAACACTCAAAAATCAATAGCCTTCTTGTACACAAATAACAGATTGAGAGAGAAATTAGGAAAACAATCACTTTCACAATAACACCCAATAAAATGAAACATCTAGGAATCAATCTGATGAAGGAGACAAAAGACCTCTATACTGAAAACTACAGAACTCTGAAAAAAGAGATAGAGGAGGATATAAGGAGATGGAAAGACATTCCTTGCTCCCAGAGAGGAAGAGTCAATATAGTGAAAATGGCCATACTTCCAAAATTTCTATACAGATTCAATGCTATCCCAATAAAAAATCCCAACATTATATTTCACAGAGCTTGAGAAAACAATCCAAAAATTCATTAGGAACTAGAAAAGACCTAGAATAGTGAAAGCCTTTCTAGGGAACAGAGACATGGCAGTGGGTATCACAATTCCCAACTTGAAACTATACCGCAAAGACACTGTGATAAAAACAGCATGGTACTGGCAAAGAAACAGACCTGAGGATTAGTGGGACAGATTAGAAGAAGCAGAAACAACTCCAGACTTTCTAAGCTACCTCATCTTTGACAAAGGAGCCAACCATCCTCTCTGGAGGAAAGATAGAGTCCTTAATATGTGGTGTTGAAAAACTGGCTTTTAACTTGCCAAAGATGAAAACTAGATCCTTATCTTTCACCATTCACTAAACTAAAATCCAAGTGGATTAAAGATCTAAATATCAAAACAGAAACACTAAATTTACTGGAAAATAAATTAGGTAGAACTCTCGAAGACATTGGCATAGGAGAAGACTTTATGAAGAAATCCTCAGCAGCATGAGAACTTGCTCAAAGAATAAACAAATCTCACTGAATCTCATTGAATTTGAATCTCATTGTATTAAAAGTTTTTACAAAGTGAAAGAAATCACCAATAGAGCTATGAGATAACCTAAAATGTGGGAAAAATTTTTACAAACTATTCCTCAAAGATTACTATCTAGAATATATAATGAACTAAAAAATTGCACAGCCCCAAATACACAGACCCAATTCAAAAATGGGCATCTGAAATGAACAGACATTTCACAGACAAAGAAATAAAAGCAGGAAATAAATATATGAAAAATGTTCAACATCATTGGTCATTTGAGAGATGCAGATGAAAACAACACTGAGATTCCATCTCATCCCAGAAAGAATGGGTGCTATCAAGAAATCACACAATAACAAATGCTGGCAGGGTTGTGGCATAAAAGGAACCCTTTTCCATTGTTGGTGGGACTGCAGACTGGTGTAACCACTGTGGAAATCAATATGGAGATACCTCTAACACTAGGATTAGAGGTTGCATCTGACCCAGCTATCTATCCCTCTGTTGGGTATCTTTCCAAAAGAATTAAAAAAATCACAATGATGAATGTAACTGTACTGTATGCCTAAAATGTACCAAAAAACTCAATGAGAAAAAAAGAATCATACCACGGTGATATATGTGCACCCATATTTATAGTGGCACAGTTCATAATAGCTAAAACTTGGAAACAACCCAAATACCCATCAACTGGTGACTGGATAAAGATGATGTTGTTTTTCTATAAAATGGAGAACTACTCAGCTATAAAGAGTGAGAAACTAGAAATATTTGTAGCTAAATGGATGCACATTGAGGGTATACTCTTAAGTGAAATAAACTGGACACACTTGAGTAAATACTGAACAGTTTCTCTGGTGTGAAAAACTAAAAGTGTAAATAAGATTCAAGTTATATAATTGATAGTGTTCAATAGGAAGAAAATGGCTAAAGGGGAAGTGGGAAGGGGAGGGGAAAGGAAATAAGGGAAAAGGACAAATGTGAAAAAAATGAAAACATGGAAACAGAGTCTTTGTAAATGGGGAAGGGTGAAGGCAGTGAAGGGAGGGCAGGGGTGTGGGGAAAAAACAAGAACCAAGACCTGTCATGTAAAGACACAAGATCCCAATGATAAATGTAACTGTATTATGTCCTTTAAATGTACCAATAAACTTAATGGGAAAAATGCAAAGTACTAAGTCGATGGTAAAATGGGAAAAATAAAAAATTAACATGGTGCTAAATTCATAATAGTTAATTTAATTCAAAGGTAAAAATGGATCGCTCTGCTCACCAGTCTGGCTTGTCCCAAATACAGTGTAATAGCTTAAAATAACATCTTTTAATAGTTACTATCTCCACTTACCTTGCTGAACTGGAGAAAATAGTAAGGATCATCTTCTATTATGAGGAAATCATATTTTCTTGCAAGCTAAAATGTTAAAATAATATATTTCATAAGGGCTCTCCAAAACTGAAGTCACTCAGAGTCATAATTCTTTGTATTCATTCTTTCAACAACTCTGTTGTTGTCCTTTATCCCAGACAGCGGGGATAAATTGAAGGAGGCACCAGGACTTCCATTCTCAGTCACCTTACGCTAGTGGGAAAGGCAGACTATGCATGCACCAGTGGATGCTAAACCAAAAAACACGACAGCGGGCGGGGGTAACTCCTAGTCAGAGCACTTTGTGAGATCACATTTGAGAAGAGTGGCAGAGTGTTTATTCACGTTGAGTCACTGAGAAGCCCTCCCTGGCAAGGTAGCTCTACAGCACAGAATGAGAGGAAGCAGCCGTGCACCAACAGGGGAAACGATTCTAGACTGAAGGAGTGAGAGTGGGATTCTGGGGGTGAGCAAGGGCCTCAGCACGTTGGAGGAACAGAAAGGCCGGTGGGGCTGCAGAGTGGGGACAGCTGGGATGATGACGGGGAGTCCTCGGGAGAGAAGGACTGTATCATGCAGCCCGCAGAGGCAGCTAATGGAGTCCGGACCTTCACAGCAAAGGGAAGAATTGTGAACAGGAGAACCACGAGTCTGGATTTTTGCATTTGCCATGTAGCAGGTGCCAGGATGCAAGTTTCACACAAAGAACGCGTGGTTAGAGACCAAGAGTGGAGCACAGCAAGGCTGAGTGACCAAGCCACCCGTCTAGTAAGGGCAGGTGGTGACTGAGAAGATGGGGTTATGAACTGCAGTGAGGAAAAATGTTGGGACTTGGAAAAACCTGATGGTGGAGTAGGAAAAGAGAGCAGGGGAAGAAAGAAAGCAGGCTCTTCCTGGAGTTTACAAAGGGCATTTATAGAGGTGGTGCGCAGAGGGGTTGTGGATTCAAGATTTCGGGTGGTGCTGGGGAAACCAGGAGTTCTATTTGGGCCAGATTGAGTTTGAAATGCTGTAGACATCCATGTGAGGACGTCAAGCAGAAAGTCAGACACAAAAGTCTGGCGTTCAGGGGAGAGGAAGGGCTGGGCAGTGTGGGTTTCTTGTGTGCAGAATGGGATATTTCCATGGAATTGCATAGGCGGAGTCTGTAAACCGAGCAGAGAGCTGAGGAGAGCACACAGGAGAGTGCAAAAAATAGTAAAAAGATATTTTGGACTTCATTCTAAGTGAAAGGTACTGGCTGACAGCTGAAATCTTACTTAGGAATCCACTGCACGTGATTAAATGGAACACAGTTTAACATGAGTTTGTTACTTATTTTAAAAAGGTATTTGTAAGAAAGGCTAGCGAGCACAGTTTGGGTGTAGAAAAAAAGACTTTTCAAGAGGCATATTTCTCTTTTCAAAGATCCCGTATAGCCAGAGATTTAGCTCAGTAGTTCTGCCGCCTGCCTCATTAGCATAAGGACCCGAGTTTGATCTCTGGTGCCAAAAAAAAAAAAAAAAAAAAAAAACCAAAAACCAAAAAACAAAAAACAAACATCCTGTCTAACTCAATGCACATTTTCTACTTTGAGAAAATGTTTATAGTAAAAAGCTGGGCTTCACAGGTACCCAAAGAGATTTTAGAGATGAAGAGCTTGCCCCTTATTTTTCAACAATTCTTTAAAATATGAAATGAAAAGGAAAAAGGAGCAGAAGAGTCAAGTGAAAAAAATATAATGAAAATTAAATTGTGGTCAAATACTAATAATCTCACAAAGTTTGACATCATACCAAGAATGTGAATGTGAATATGCCACTGAAGGGAAAAGAAAAATATCTTAGAAATAAAAGCCCTGGTAATGTGCTATGCAGAGATTTATTAGGGCCCTTCTCATAGGAGAAGTCCTCTTACTAAAAATCATCTTCCTTGAAAGCAAGGGGGGAAGAAAGGAAGTTTACAGCACTCTTGGAAAATGAAAGAAGTGAAGCAGGAGCACAGCTGACTGACACATTCTTTCCAGTACCTTGTAGATCTCTGTTTTACGGTCACCTGTCAATGAGTTTCCAGTGGGGTTGTTGCCATTTGGAACAGTATAGAGAAACTTGGGGGTGTTTTTGTTGGGGTCCTTGGAATCTTCTGGTTTCCATTTGGAAAGTATTTCTTTGAGGGCGTCTGGGATAATCCCAAACTCATCACTGGAGCGGGATCAGCTGAGGACCAACAAAAAAGAAAAAAAAGAAAAGTTTAGGAGCCAGACACGAATACAGGACATAAGTGCAATTTAAAGAAATACTAACTAGGAATGTACTATTTATCTCCTCAAACATAAGCCTGCCCTGAGCTCCAAGCTCTCGAGGGTTCACACGGTCTATTGTTTCCCTGGGGTAGATTCTAGGAGAACAGTTGTACATTTTTTTTCCTACGGTGATTGAACCAGAGTCCTTTGTACCGAGTCACATCTCCAAAACCTTTTTCCTTTTTGAATTTTTGACAGGATAGCTCAAAGCTGCCCAGCCAGGACTTGAGGTCGTAACGCTTCTGCCTCAGCCTCCGAGGGTGCTGGGATTTCAGGTGTGCACAGCAATGGTTGGCTGTGGGTTGTATTCTCTTGCTCCAGTCATGTCTGGTTTGGCCATGTGTCTCGCTCTGGCCAATCAATTAAGAGCAGAAGGGATATTTGTTCTTTCATGAAGTTTAAAAATCCAACTTGTGGTTTTCTAAGTCTGTTTTTCCTTTGCTCTGTGATTGGCTGTGATCTGGGCAGAGGCTGTTTCTGCCGACTTGGGGATTGGGATGAAGGTGCCACAGAGCTGAGCAGGGGCCATGTTGTGGGGTAAAGTGTTACAGGAGTCAGTTGCTGAGGTGTGACAGTCATTCATCAGAGAGACCCTTTTAACTGAATTATCCCAATAGCTCGAGTTAGATGTGGAGGTAATTCTGGGGATCTGAAGCCATGGGGAATGTTTCACCTGCTAGGGAGTCGGGTGAGGCTGATGGTTAGAAAGTTATTGTTGTGAATTGCAATCACTTCCCTGTAGATTCCATCCTATATGTCTACCAATCTAAGGACATGGAAATGGAATTTAAATTTTCTCTCACATGGCAACAATCAGATTTTAAAAGAGAAATGTGTGAAGCAGAGGGTCCATTTAATGCATACTGCATATATCGTTTTTGAGATTCTCTTGTCTATAGGTGAAAGCTGCTATTTTGTTTTTCAGTGGACAGATAACTCTCAAGGTGCAATAGTTTCTTCTATTTAGTATGAGTTGTCATTTTGCAAAAATGTGCACTTACAGCTTTAAGTGTTCCGGAATAAACTGGTTCATCTAGGAGGATGTTATCTCCGGGATTAATTATCATTTCAAATGCCTAGCAAAAGAAGCATAAGTTAGCTTGCATAGTATTGTTTCATTCTCAGAACTCCATTATTTAGTTTGAGCTCACAGGACCCTACAGTATGGGCTGGCAGATTTTTTGTAAAGGCCCCAACTCTAACCATTTTGTGGATTATCATGTCTCTTTTGGCTATTACTCATCTCTGCTTCTAGAGTGGAAAGTAGTCACAGAAAATGTAAAAGCAAATGGGAGTAGCTGAGCTCCAGTAAAACTGTATGTAGAAACCTAGATGAGAATCTGACTGAGACTCTTATGTAACAATCTCTTTTCTAGAGAAAACTAAAAAAGAACATAACTGGTTTGGTTTCTAAAATTCATTTATTCATCCTCTTGCTTCTTTGAGAATTTTAAAAATTTCTACCACCAGTTATGCCTCTGTGAAGTACTGGAACTGAGAGATGGACAAAATCAACTTTTTTTAAAATTCTAATAGATTTACATGTCCTCTGGAAAAGGTAGATAAGCACTCAGTAACTACACAAAGAGGTATATAAGTAACAAGAGTGGTGAGCGTAATGTCGAATACAGCTCACCGCAAAAGTTTGGCAGTCAGGGGATTCAGATAAGGCTTTCTGAGTGGGTGATGACTTGGTGGCAGGGGCAACAGTAGGGACATTTTCAGAAACGGAAAGAATTCTGCGAGTTGACTGTAAAGAGGAGGGTAGAGAGAGACCAGCCTGTGGGCAGTGAGTACACCATGTAGGCATTCTACTGAATGGTGGTATTATGGTTTAAATCCAGAATGCCCCCCGACTGTCATATGCTAAGAGGCAGGGCTTTCGGAAGGTGACTGGATCATGGGGGAGCCATACTTATCAGTAGATTAATCCACTAATGTGTTCAGTGGCTGAGTTTTTTAAGGAGGTGTGGTCTGGATGGAAGAGGAGGGTCACTAGGTCACTGGAAGGGCATATCTCCCTGTCCGGCTTTTTGTTTCTCTCCGGCTGCCTTGGCATGGACAGCTTTCTTCTGCCAGACCTTTCCACTGTGCTACTTCTGCTTAAGATTGACCGTGGACTTAAACTGTGAGCCCAAATCAACTGCTCCTCCTTTAAACTGTGGTCATCACGTATTGAATCCTAGTGATTAGAAGGTGACTGAGATAGAAGGTGAAAGAGTTTTAAGTAAGCAATCAGGAGGAGTCATACAGTTGGATAAGCATTTAGGAAAAATTCTTCTCATTCAAATATGAAAGAACAAGAGCAGGGAAAGAATATGTGTCAGATACTTGGAACAGTTTTAGGCTTATTTGGAAATTTCTGCTGCAGTCAGACAAATAAGGATAGCTGAACAGACTGGTGGAACTGTAGAGTATGGATTGGTAGTTAAGAAATGAAAACCAGCTCCCTTCTGGGAAGATGGAGGAGCAGCAAAGAGCAGCAAATCAGCCTCTCTGAGATTTGGAATCCAGACACTGGATATAAGACTTGGGGAAAAAAAGGAGAGAGTCTGATCCCCTGGACTCAGGAAAAAATTTGAAGGGAGAATTGGAACCCATAGGAAAGTGAAGAGATAGACCTCAACACACAGAAAGGTGGTAGCAAACCGCACTTTCTGCTGGACTCTTGGCCCTTGGCATGAGAGAGGATGCTCAAATTTACAGAGACAGTGAGGGCAGCTAACTCAGAGGCCTCAGTGGAAACACACACACCAGTGCAATAGAACAGTGGACGCTGTGAGCTACAACAGCTGATGAGTGACCCCAGTCCAAGTGTTGCGTGGAGAGGGAGCTTGGACAAACACAACTTTAGGGAGGGGCCAGCTGAACCCAGGACTTAGAGCAGTTGTAGGTTGGCTTCCTCTTATGGTTCCCAAAGACTGGGTGAGGCACAACCACAGGAGACATCCAGGGTTGGGGAGCTGAGGTCCAGCTAACAAGAGACACCCAGAGCGTCTTAGGCTGAACAACTCAGGCCCAACTCCACAACCAGAGGCCAGGATCAGATTGAACTGTGGAGTTGAAAGCATCAGAATCAGCACCCTGCACTACTCCTATTGCAGTCTTGCTGGGATTATCCAGTAGGGATCTAGGTTCTGTTTGACTCCTTTGTCTACCTGTGATAGAGGAGACCCACACAGAATTGAACACTACTATAAAAGTGTAAACTCCAGAATATTACAATTGGGTTGAAATCACAGAGAAATCTTTTTTCCTTTTATTTTCTGTTTTCTTTTGTTTTTTCATTCCCTTTTCTTGTTTTTTTTTTTAATGAGTGTGAGTGAACACTGCTTTTTATTGTTTCAGTTCTTGTTTTAGTTTTTTTCTTCTTTCTTTCCTATCTTCTTCTCCCATTTCCTAAAGTTTGGGTAATCTTCTTTTGTTTTTAGCCTTGCTTCAAATCACTTCCCCTTCTTTTATCTCTCTTTTTTCCTCTTACCCCTCTTAATTTTTCTACCCAGCAGAAATCCTAAAACAGAATGCAGCAAGTCATCAAGAAGATTTTGCACCATGACCAAGTAGGAATCATCCCAGGGATGCAGGGATGATTCACCATACACAAATCAATAAATGTAATATGTCACATTAACATGATCAGTGAAGAAACCCACATGATCATCCCAGTAGACACTGAAAAAGCATTCCACAAAGTCCAACAGTCATTCATGATAAAATCCTACAGAAAATTGGAATAGAAGGTCTATATCTCAATTTGATAAAAGCCATCTATGATAAACCAATAGTAATGTAATACTAAATGGTCAAAACCTAAAAGCTTTCACTCTAAAATAAAAAAGAATACAAAGCTAAATGCCCATTACCATCACTTCAGTTCAATATAGTTTTGGAAACATTAGCCAGTTAGATAAGAAAATGAAAAAGAATAATGATAGAAATGATAGAAATTAAGTCATCACTATTTATGGGTGCCACGATATTGTACATAGAAGACCCCAAAAGTCAAGCAAAAGACTTCTAGATTTAATAACCACATTCAAGAGCATAGCTAGATCAAAGTATACACTCAAAAATCAATAGCATTTCTGTATAGAAACAACACGTTTTACAATACCATCAAGAAAAATGAAATACTTGGGAATCAATCTAATGAAGGAAGTAAAAGAGTTTTACATTCAAAACTGCAGTACTGGGAAAGAAGAGATTAAAGAAGGCATCAGGAAATGAAAGGCTTATCACTTATACTGTGATAGGCAGAACGAATACAGTGAAAATGGCCATACTTCCAAAACTGTTTAATAAAATTTCCAAACCAAATGTAATGCCACCCTAATCCAAATACCAATAGCATACCTCAGAAAGCTAGAGAAAAAAAATCATAAAATTCATTTGGAACCAGAAGAGACATAGAGCAACAAAGACAAGGCAGGGGCCATCATAATTCCAGACTTGAAATTTTACCACAAAGCTACTGTAGTTAAAAACAGCATGGTAATGGCCAGGGATTTAGCTCAGTGGTTACGCTGCCTGCCTCATAAGCACAAGGATCTGAATTCAATCCCCAGGACCAAGAAGAAAGAAAGAAAGAATGAACACACATACACACACTCCAAACAAACAATTAAACAACAACAACAACAACAACAACAACAACAAAACAGCAGGCCAATGGCAAACAAAACAAAGCCTAAAGCAAAATAAAACAGACCTGTGGATCAATGGATCAGAATAGAAGATGCAGAAACAGCTTTAAACATACTAAGCCACCTTATCTTTGACAAAGGAGCCAAATATCTTCACTGGAAGAAAGACAGCCTCTTTCATAAATGGTGCTGTACAAACTGGTGTTCCACATGTTAAAGGTTAAACCTAGAGCTATATCTCTCACCATGCATTACACTAAAATTTAAATGGATAAAAGATCTAAATATCAGAACAGAAACATTTAATTTGCTCAAAGATAAAATAGGGAAAACTCTTGAAGACATAGGTATAGGCAAAGACTTTATGAAGTAAACCCCAGTCACACAGGAAATATTACAAACAAATCAACAACTGGAATCTCATCATATTAAAAAGCTTTTGCCCAGCAAAATAAACCACCAACAGATTGAAGAGAAAATGCACAGGACAGAATGGGAAAAATTTTTAAACAGCTATTCCTCAGATAAATGAAAATAAGGTAATTTTCATTTAAGGTTGAAGATGTGACTTTTGTTTTCCAGTATGGCCTGTGATGTTCAAAGTATCTTTCTCTCATGGAGTTTTTGACATCTTATGACAAACAGTATGCTCCTCCAAAAAGTTTCCGGTTGACTCAGGTGTGCAGGACATGCCAGGGCTAGAGAAATCACTTGGGTTGTGGGAGCATTCCCAACAGATTAAATAAAATCCTAGTGATATACATTTCCATGTCAATTAGGGGATATACCAATGTCAAACACTCTAAATTAAAAAGGAGAGCTATTTCCCATCAAAAAGATGCAGTCAAACATAGAAACCTAAAATAACATCTGCCTTGGAGAGCAAAGTGGAAGAAATACTAGAGCAGACTACTACTAAGGCCCTTGTAATAAATGTGTCTGTAGTAATGTGTTATTGATTTATTTGGCCACAGATAGTGATATGATTGATATGACTAGTGTAGTGGCAGAGATTGAAAAAAAAAACTATCTTTGGCATTTTTTTTCCTGCAGAAAAGACTTCGCAGTATACTGTCCTAAGAAAATAATGTTATTGAATGAGTCCTTTAAAATGTCCACCCATGGAATCACAAAAGTTTCTTTTTAAGCAAATGTTCAGACAGTAGCTAATCCTTGTATTTCACCTAATTAAATTCCATAGGAGGGAGAAAAATTGATTTCATTTATAAATACCCTTTAAAGGTATTTTTATTACACTTTATTATCTATGGCAATTTAAAGCTAATTAGGGTCAATCTGATTTTCACAAAATAGAAAAGAAGAAACAGAAAGCTACTCTGATTTAACATGAACGATGATGAACAGGAGTCACTTGAATGTAGATATGAAGACTAAATACACAGAATCTTTATCCAGGTCTAATTACTCATGCAAAAGGGAAGAAAAAGGGAAGCAGGTGAAACTGTCTAGAGGTGTAGTCTCTTAGTAAGAGGTCTGCCTAGAGGTGGTTTCCTGTGTGGAGCTTCAAGAGCCCAGCAGAGATCAGATGCGACAATGGAAGGAGGGTTGGAAGGTGGAGGAGAAAGGGTTAAAGACTGAGTTACAGAAGTTAGGATCAGAAATCTACAGATGGCCCCTCTCTTACCATGTTTCGATGTAGTTTTCCCACTTTCCACGGCTGAGAATGTTCGATGCATTGAGTAGAAACTGTACTGATTTCCGAAGGCTGATTTTTTTGCAAGGCTTGCAATATGCGGTACGATACTCTCACAGACTGCTAGGGGGCACCAGCTTCCAGCGGGCCGTGTGATCATGAGGGTAAACAGCAGCTACTCTGCAGTGCGCTGTCACTAAGTTATTATTTTCAGTGGGTTGGGTACATTAAATGCATTTTGGACTTGCCATATTTTCAATTCAGGATGGGCTCATCTGGAAAGAGTTCCACTGTAAGCCCAGTAACATCTGCATTCAGATCCAGAGAAGTATGGTCAAGGAGAGGACATAGTATAAGCAGGGGTGAGTAGACAGGTTCTATACGAGGTATCAGAGTACCCACGGGAATCGAGTTTTCATCCAAGAATACGGAAACATGCCCTTTAAAGAATCTAAAAATGATATTGAAATCATAACTATAGATAGAAATCAAATGTTGACCGGAATCTTTGAGGCAAATGAAATTAAGCAGTGTTACAAAGCTTTTTGTACAATTTGAATGCTGTCATAACAGAATCCTAGTTTAAATGACTCACAGAACTAAGGCATTAAATAAGGGCTGAATATTTAGGAAAAATCAGGCTGGTAAATGCAATTAAGAGCATATAATTTTTAACTGTGCCTTTTCATAATAAGGGAAACTAGAAGGAAATATCAAGATTAAAGGATTTCTTACCTGATATTTATGTATCATTAAAGCTCTCGGTGTATATCCTTCTCTTACTATACTCCCCTCCCATCCTATGTTTGCCTTTGAATTTCCTGCTTATTATTTTATGTGAAGTCAAGAAACACTACCACTAATTTTCAAAACGCGATCCTCCTGTGGTTAGGTGGCCGATGACTGCATTTAGGAACATATTTGATTCTGCTCCTTGGTCACCTTTTCCTTTCAGTCTTACCTTACAGAGACCATCTTGGCTGCCCGATGTGATGCAGAGATCCATTTGTCCCTGGTTAGGTGGGTAATGGGTGTTGGGAGGATTGTGCAATTTTATTTGTAACTGTTTCAGCCAGGACACAAGTGCTGGAATTCTAAAGCCACAAGATTTATTTTAAATTGATAGTAGCAATAATCACTGGAATGGTAGACAGGAAGTATATGGTAGCTTTATATCAAAACAGCCATGTATTCAATTAAAAAACTCAAACTTTTCATCAATTCCAATATTTCCATTAAAGACAGTGCAACAGACTTAGAGATTAGTAAATCCACATAAATACAATCAATGAAATAATTCACACAACATCATCCATTTAATCAATGAACTGAGATTTGAAACTATATCCTCTTTGTTTGAAAGCCTGAAGGTCTTTCATTTACACTAGAGCATTCACTGAATAATACATTTCTTACTTTTTCCTTACTTTCCTTAGTGAGATTTCTATAGGCTGTCAGGAGTTCAGGCTCAATTGTTTCTTTGTATTACGGAAATAAAGGCATATTTATATATTGCATATAATTCATATACATTACATTTCAATGTGCCCTTCTATCACATAACAAAAGTTTTAATATCCTATAAGTCATAGACTTCTTAAATTATTATCTCATTTTAAGATCAGCTAATAAAGTTTTAAAGCATCTTTCAGCTTGCCTTTAAGAAATTAGACATTTGAACTTATGAAATGTATTTGTACACTTGCTTGCTTAAAAGAGGACATAATCACAGTATCACACAACTACCCAGAGACTTAAAAGAACTCTTTTTTTCTTCTTTTCAGTTTCTTCACTTAGCATCTTTTCAGTTTTCACACTCAGCTCAAATGGCACTTCTGGAAGATTCTCTGGTTTTCCTAGTCATTTAAGATTGAAAAGCACTGAGAAGTGTTAAGCATTTAGTATTCCTTTTGCTCTTAATTACTGTTTGAAAACTTTTCCGCAACCTACCCAATCATCAAACACTGTTAAAAAAGACACAAGTCAAATGGTCAAACGGGACATGAAAATGAAGCAGTAAGATCACGTTATCTGTTAAAAACTCACCCGTAACTTGCAGAATACTGAAGTGCTGTCTTCATGGTCTCTTCTCCAAATTGTATGGTGTTTCCACCTTCTAAAGTGATAACAGCACTCTTAAAGGGGAAGGTGTTTGGATTTGGGCATCCAGGAGCCAAAGAGATGAAAGATTTTGTTGGCATGTGCACAAAGTCATCTATGATAAACATAGAAAAGAAATACATCTAAGGAAGACTTAGAAACACGCAGTTCAGTATGCACTAGTCAACTACAAAGTTTGATACTTCCAGTGACAGAATGTGCCATGGTGTGAATGTTGGTGCCCCCTCTTCATAGGGTGGAACCTAATACCCCATGTGACAGGAAGAGGGTCTTCAAGGGCTGATTAGACCACAAGGACTCTATGTGCATGAATGGGTTTGCTGAATTGTAGAAAGAGGTCCGAGGGAGTGCCCTTGCTTCTTCTGCGAAGTGAGGATCCCTGTTACCACCTTCTGATATAGGAAATAGGGTGTGACAAAGCTGGCTGGGGAAATGAGCAGAATCTCTCATTACCAGGTCCCGAGACAGCACCAAATAGTTCGGCCTGGTATGCGGAACTTCTTACAGGATCCCGCGAGATGTGTACAGCACAGAAGAAAGGAAGCCACTGGAGGAGCTAGGGGAGTCCCCGCAATAGTCCGCCCGGCGTTTCCCAGACAAGGTGTGTGCTTTTATTTTTGCTTTTACCTTACTTTCTTCCTTGTTAAACCCAAGTTCACTCCGCGGAGCTAATTTATCCCATACCCATTCACCTCTCCCTTTTCAAGTAAACTTTTTGGCACTGTTTTTTGCTTGTCTTCTCCAAATTACTGTGAGGAGAGAAAGACCATTTCTAAAGAAACTACCCGACACGCAACAACGTGCCTTCTGTAGGGAATGGCTCTCACCCCAACACGGAATCGGCTGGAGCCTTGATGTAGGACTTTGCTCTGTCCTAAATTGTGACAAATAAATTCCTGTTGTTTCTGAATTACCAGTTTATGGCATTCTGACATAGCAGCCCAAATGGTCTAAGGTAGAACGCGAGTCTAAAGTATGGGATGACTTTTTCTGGGCCCCCTCACTGGTGAAGGACCGAAGATTGAGAAGGCGGAGGGGCCAGGAATAAACACGGGGCCAAAGCAAGAGAAGATGCTCCTGCAGCTGCCCCCACTCGCCTGGGAGCTGCCTGGCTCAGCCTCCCCCTCCCATGTAGGAGCCCGCTCCCCGCCCCGCACACTTCTGCACACTGTGCCTCCCCACTGTCTCGCCGGGAAGAGCCTGGCTCCACAGCCTCCCTCCCAGGACCCGTCTCCCGGGAGGCGGGCTGAGCCTCTCTGGTCCTCCTGCTCCATGCTACTGGAACCGCTCTGTGGCTGCCTCTCCTTGCAGCCGTCCTTCTCTGAGAACAAGGGCTCCTCCTGCCTGGGCTCTGCCCCAGCCTGGCCCACAGTGGGCTGGCCCAGCTGGATGAATGGACGCCACCCAGCCGTGACCAAGGCTCCACCCGGGCAGGACAGGCGCTGGCTGCGTATCTCACCCAAGGTTCGGATGGGAGAACGTTTTCTGGCCGCGCTGGTCGCGTTAATGAACCGTGCATAATTCATGTCTCCGAGAGTCAAGCGCCAAGCTCTTTCTTCAGTGGTTCAGGACTAGAAAACAAACTAAACCCCAAACCCCCCAAACCAGAGAGCCTCGTCAAGGACAGCCTCCCAAGTCCTCACGCCTAAGTGCAGCGTTAGAGGTCCCCGCACGGTGCCCGGGCTGCAGGCTGCGCACGGTCTTCTTGTCCTGTGCTTCCTGGCATCAGCAGGGGTAAAGTCCACGGCCTGTAGGGAGGTTGGTTCTTTTTCCTTGTGCGACTGCCCCTGTCCAGTCCAAAGGTCACAGGCTGCACTTGCGCCCCCTCCGCGGGCTAAGGCGTGAGAAACCTGCAACCCCCAGCCAGTGCCCGAGTCCATCAAAGCCCTCAGGACTCCCCGCTTTACGGAGGGAGTGCAGCGTCTGCAACTCCGCTCCCAGATGGCCGACAAGCTGGCCTTGGATCACACCCAGAACTACTGGAGGGGCCCGGACGTTGTTCTGCTCGATCCTAGTCCTTGAGTACCATCTAGTGGTGGCTTTGGTCCACTGCACCTGGCTCCGTTAGCGGAGCCCAGCCTGACGCTGCCCTCCTAGGGGGCCACCCAGACGGGGCCGTCCAGAGGCAGCATTTCACCCCCTCAAACCATTGCTGGGCTAAATTCTCAGCACTCTCCTGACAAGTTACCATGGCGCCTCACAAGAGTCCCTGAAACACGTCCTTCAAAATCTGAACTTAGTAGACTGAATGTAGCGTGTTGACTTTGTGAGAAATCACTCAGAGCAGCTCGATTTTAGGGTCTCCTCTCCCTTTGAGCTTTCTCTGCTTTCTCTGCAGGCATTAGCTTGGAAAGGAGTTGCACATGGTGGAATCCAGGAGATGGTCGAAGTACGAGTTCATGAACCACCGGGTTTTTGCCATACTAAAAGAGAATGTTTTTCTTGGGGTCAAGAAAACTGTGAATTAGCCTCCCAGTACACTTGAATAGATGAGGTACATTACCTATTTAGGGCTTTAGTCTTTTTCAAGTGCAGGTGTTCAGTTAGGATGGAAGCGGGCTTCAGTGGAAAAAATAAAATATGATTAACTTTGAAATGGACTTTTGCACATTCGGCCACCAGAGCTGAGATCAGCAACAGCGTCTGAGGTCCCTGGGTGCTAGAGGGCCCTTGAGGAGTCCGAGGGGGAGGCTTGTGCTATGAAGTAGCTCCAAGACTAACCCCGAGTGGCCCTGTTGTACGCGGACCTCGGCACCGGAGAAGCCTCTGCAGGAATGCAGCCTGTCACTGCCAGGGCTCTGGGTCTTCACAAAACCCAAACTAAAGAGATTTAAAGTAGTTAAACGTAAGGTACTGGTTCTCCAGCTTTAAACATTCTGATGGATCTGGGATGGTTTGTGGGTGCTGTTGATAATAAGCTGGGTGATGATTCAGGTCAATAAGGAGACAGAGAAAGGGCCCGACTGGTGAAACACCGGAATCCCACACTCAGGGGTGTGATTAGCAAGTGAAAGGCAGGACGAAGCCAGTGTAGGGGGAAAAGGATGAGCTAGGGTGAAATGGGAAAGAACTTACCAGTCAATTTGAACCTGCTAAGTTGAAGATAAAACCGCTTGCCAGAGAGGCTGACTTGGGATTTGTCAGGAGAAGCCGCAGAGTTCTCCTGAGGAAGCAAGATGAATGAGCAAGAGTTGCAGCTCAGTGCTTTCCCCTTTTAAAGACTGCCTGGTCTGGCTGCCCTAGGGTAGAGCTAGAGGGGCAGATCTTTTCTCCAAACATTTATTAGACCCTTACTCTGTGCTAGGAAGTGTAGTGAATTGAAAATGATAACTGAGACAAGTCACCGCTCTTGAAGAGCAAAAGGGTCAGGAATGTCATTCAATACAGTGGCACAGAGCTAAGATGCAGCTGCTGAGGAAAGCGCAGGGAGTTGGTGGTTATTTTCAGTGGAGAGCAGGACTCAGCCATCTTAGACAAGCTTCTTTTTCTCTCATCTTTCTCAGAATTTTGTTCATCAAAAAGGGTCTCCCATCCAAGAACTAACCGGGCTCAACCCTGCTTGCTACTGAGATCAAATGAGTTCGGAAGGGAAGGCAGGGCAATGGGGAAAAATCAGATCCAAGATGGATTATATCATGGTGCAAATTTCCACTGATGAATGTCATTATATTGTGTACCTTAAATGTACTGATAAAATTAATTTAAAAGAAAAGGGTCACTCACGGGATAATCATCATCTTTCTCTTCAAACTCAGAGGGGACTCATGGGAAGGCTTGCTCCTCATTTGACAAACTTTTCACTGAACCTATTCTATAATGTGAGAGAGGGAAGGTTTTCAACATAGAGTTCAGAGAAATTTTGCTCAGTTTCTTAACTCGTATACTTTGTGGCTAAACTTTTGAGATAATTTTTGGGTGCTGAATGGAGATGGAAAGATGTGTGATTTTTCCTGGAGAAGGGAGTGAGAAAATGTATTTCAGAAGCCTGGGTGAGATAACCCCCAGTTGAGCAGCTGAATTATTCTGCTAGGGCTGCAGTGATAAAATACTACAGGTTGGCTTACACTGGAAACTTATTTCCCCACTGCTCTGAAGGCTATCGGTCCAAGATGAAGTTGTTGGCAGGCGTGCTTTCTCCTGAAGCTTGCAGATGGCTGTCTTCTGTGTGTTCACCAGGTGTTTTTCTTAGCTACCTGGTGTCTCTTTTTCTTTTCAGGACAAGTTATATCAGATTAAGCCCCCACATTTGTTACCTTGGGTAACTTTGATTACTTCTTTAAGGCCCTTACCTCCAAGGGCTTACAAAGTTTCTGATATCAAGATGAAATCATTTTTGTCAGGCTCAGATAAAATTAGAGCCAGGAACTTGGGAAGGAGAATGCATATTGTCTGGCATAAGTACTCATATTGTCTGACGTAAGTACTATGTAAAACCCCACAAAATGTTTCTTGTTTTACACACATCTATGCACAGATTTCTGTAACCAAGTTTATATTTAACATGCTTAAGGTTGCAGCAATTCAGGTGAGGTGCTCAGGGCAGAACACACTTGTCCAGCAACACACTTTCACCCATGAGCTGACATTCACTCTTGCCTCAGGAGACAAAGCAAGCATTTCTGGGAATTTATATGTTGAAACACTTATAGGAATTTCTCTCTCATTTTTTTTTAAATAAAAGCTTCCCTTACCCTTTTTTTTTCTTTCAGTGCATAAGTATCTTACCGCACTATGATCCTGTTCTATATATTTTTTTTACTTTCTCCCAGATAAAATTTTCATACTTGGAGATATTTTTCTCTGTTGTCTCTTCTAAGCATTTGTATTTATTTTTTTTTAAGATGGAGGATAGTTCAGTTTGTAACAACAGGTAAAATATCAAATATGTATCTCATAGGCTCCCTGGGGCAGGAATAGGGGAATTGGTTAGCTGGTGGCTGATGGCCAGGAAATCTCAAGAAATTAGAGTCAAGGTCCTGGTCACAGCGGCAAAGCTCTGAAGACTTGAGTGGGACAGGAAGAACGGCCTGTGAAGTGGCTCATGCACACGAGTTCTTCATATATTATATAATTCACATATTCATTTGCTACAGCTGCTCTAACAAAGTACCCCAAACAGAGGGCCTTAACACAACAGATGCTGTTTCTTAGTTCTGGGAACTAGAAGTTACCATAGTTTTGGTTCTTTCTGAGAAGTATGAGGAAGTATCTGTTTCATGCTGCTGTCCTAGAATTCAGTGGTTTGCTTGCAGTCTGATGATTGTTGGCCTGTAGTTGCATCTCTGATTTCCACTTTGATCTTCACATGCTGCTCTCCTGTGTGTATGTGGGGTCCAATTTCCTCTCCTGTCGACAGCAGTCAGATTGGATCAGTCACCTTCATTGACTATTTTACGTGGTTACCACTGCACAACCCAATCTTCAAATTAAGTCACATTCGGTGATCATAGGAATTAGATCTCCAACTCAACAGTTTTGGAAAGACAGAATTTTACCTACAATGCATGGCTGTCGGCAGAGAACATCTTGCTGGCTTTTGGTAGGTGATCTCAGTTCTTTCTGTGTGATTCTTTTCATAGGCTTTCTTGAATGTCTCTGTGACATGGACTTATTTTCTTCATGGTGAGTGGCCTAAGCCAAAGAGGAGAGTCTATTCTTTTACGATCTGCTCTTACACATTACAATTTCTGCCATATTCCCTTCGTTAGGCACAAGGTGGTAAGTACTATTCACACTCAAGGAATCAGGCTGTACTTTTTGAAGGGGGGAAATTATGTAATTTGGGGGCACCTTTTTTTAAAGCTAACTCTGAAGGAAATCATGGATCAAACTGGGTGAAAATATTGGTCAGGGGAGTGAATAAGATTAAGGATGGTATTAAGTTTTAGCAATGTTCCTTAGTATAAATGTTAGAGCCAGGCATCAAAACTCTCAAGAAAGGAGGAACTGAACAGTTGTATCAATGAAAGCAGTTATCAGTGACACTGAACAGAAGAAAAGTTATTATCGAGGCTGGCTTTCTAATTCCACATAGTATAGTTTTCAGTTCTATGCTTTCCATTTGATCCTTTATGAAGTTTCTACTTTTGTCTTGAGATTTACCATCTTCTCATTCATTGTGGGTGTGTTTTCCTGAATGGTTACAATACATGATTGGCATAACACTAATAATAATAGTTGCTTTGAAGTTCATCTCTGATTTTTGATTCTCTTCCCAAGAGTAAGACAAACAATTAAATAGTTCAGTGTGAGAGGTAAAAGTAGAGAGAGGTATGGGAAATAAAAGTGTCTCAGAAGCGACATCATAGAGCTTTGTTTTTGTCCTCTAGTGTGTGAGATTGATTCATGGAGGAAATGAGATCAGGTAGGAGATTGCCATAGTAATAAATATGAGAGTTGACTTTATTTTGGCTAAGAATTGGTTATAAGGGTGAAAATGGAGATGAGTGGACGTATTAAAAATTAAAAAGTGGCACATACCTGTAATCCCAGAATTCTAGGAGGCTTGCAAGTTGTAGCCCAGCTTAGGCAATTTAGGGAGGCTTGTGGCAAAATCCAAACTGAAGAAGAAGAAGAAAGAGGAGGAGGAAAAGATGGAGAAGGAGGAGGAGGAGGAAGAGAAGAAGAAAGAGGAGGAGGAGGAGTTGAGGGGAGGGAAAAATAAGAATCAAAATATACTATGTACAGATACAAATTCCCTTTATGAACGTGATCATTATTTTATATATTAAGTTTATCAATAAATTAATTTAAAAATAGAAAAGAGATCATTAGAGCCTCCCACAAGGAAATAAAATGTCTTGCCCACCAAAAGAAATAGACAAAAGAAAAAAGGGTTTAAAGTGGCATATTCTTTTTTGTTTTGTACCGGGGATTGAACTTGGGTCCTTGCACTTGCAAGGCAGGCCACCGAACCGCTGAGCTAAATCCCCAGCTAGAGTGGCATATCCTTAAGTGAAATAAATAAGACATACACATGTAAATACTGAATAGTTTCTCTGGTGTGAAAAACTAAAAGTGTAAAGAAGATCCAAATGGTATAATAGACAATGTGAAATGGGAAGAAAAGGGCTGAGGTTTAGGGGAAGTGTGGGGGAAAGGAAATAAAGGAAAAGAAAAATATGAGAAAATGAAAAAACGGAAACAAAGTTTTTGTAAATAGGGAAAGGAGGAGAGGTTTAAGGGAGGGCAGGGGCATGGGGAAAAATTTGAAC